TATATATATATATGTATTCTAATATCTATTTATCTATAATATGTATCTACGGGTTTTCATGTCACTAAAGAACAAAATTTTGAATAACTTAACAGTTTACTGTATCCTAAAAAGAGAGAGTAGATATGCCTGATTAGGAATATCTGTTAAAAAAATAAATAAAAAAAGAAAACAAAATAAAATACTAAGATAAGAGATTTTAATATTTAGATAATTTCTTGTCGATAACGTCTTTTTTAAAATGGCCTAGTGACCTTCGGATTATTGATGTGATGCATTTTATCTGTTAAATATTGTCTTTAAAAACTAATATTTGAACTGATTGACATTGCTGATACGACTATGCTACATATAATATCAAGAGCTTAAAATATTTTATAACTGAAAATTATATTTAGTGTTTTAAAGAAACCTTCTAATTTTGACATGAAAAACATTCGAGCTGATATATGATAGCTCGACTCTGTTGCACTGTAAAAAATTACGCCATAAAGTACCTTCACTTAGGGTACATCATCCGTAAATTCTGCTTCACCGTAAACCCCGGTTTACTGTAAAATCAATTTTTCTGTAAAATATTATACCGTAATATTTACAGTGGCATTTATTTAATTAGAGTGATTCAGAGATCTTACGGTAATTAATATCAGATTATTTGTTCCGTATCATGCTTCGGTAACAATTGATTTTACGGCAAAAAGTACCAACACCCTGAGTGCCGGTACTCGTTATCGTTAATTTGATCTGAAATTTTTTACAGTGCGATTGTTCAAGTCTAAGTAATTATAGCATTTTTTGATGTAATTTTTATGTTATTCGAATCATGATAAATAAAAAAACCAAGTTTTATTATATCAAGAAACTTCAATATGAATGTTTTAAAATATCCGAGGTTCCACTTTCAAGTTCAGCTTCATCAAATTATGATTTCATCAATTGCACGACCAAAAATTATTAACAAATTTCAATGCTTACATGCAGATAGTGTGCGAAAATTTTTTTTGCATCAAAAGTTCTGTCTCTTGTACTACTTCTATACATGTGAACATGAAGAGCATATTTGTGCTGAGTGAGGCGTAAAGTTCTATTCAAAGATTTGTTATTTATAGCTTATTCTTGTTAGATGTCCTTATCACGCAAGATTGATTGCTGCATCACCGTTACATTGTCATAAAAGTTTGACAAAAAAAGAAAAGGAAAATACTAATTATCATATAAGATGAAAAAGAAAGACAAAGGGAAAGATAATAGTAATATAAAAACCTATATTCAATTGTGAAATCTATGTTTAACATTTCCTGAATTTGAACTTATAAGCTATTTATGCCAGCTCAATTTCCGGATGATTAATCATCAGCTTTAGGTAACATTTCTAAATTTGAAGAAGAACAGTGAATAAGCAGAAAACAAATAGCTTTCGATTTTCCAATCAAAAATTCTAAAGATAAGTATCATAACATCTGAAGGTCAAGCTTTAAATGCGGGTTTGAAAATGAATGTAAACTATAATACTGATTTTACATACGAATTATAATACATAATAAGTAATTATTTTCTAATCCAAACTGATATATTTTTAGCAGATATTTTGAGAATGAATGTTAACTATTAACGGAGTCTTTACTGATTTTACATACGAATTTTATTATACATGAAACAATTATTTTCTAATACAGACCGATATATTTTTAACTGCGGATTTTAAAAAAGAATGCTAATGATCATTAGAAGCTTTACTGATTTTACATACGAATTATATTATACATAAAATCATTATTTTCAAATCCATTGAGATATGTTTATAGTAAAATACAGAAGAAAACAGGTATTTGAATTATTGTTAATAATTTGGAAAATATGTATTTTATTTAATAAAAAATAGCATATCAACAAATGAAAAATAAAAATTTTTTTTTAGAAAAAAGGATTTTATAAATAACTGATTTTAAAAAGTGTTTTAAGAGTGTATACTTAAAATTTTTACTTCGTTTTATTAAAATATAATTTTTTAGAATATTTTGTCAGAAACAACTTTTTCTACTGCTTGTAGCTACTGTACGTATATATGCGGCAATAATAATTGCATAGTAATTTAAAGCTTTGTTATGGAAACTGCCTTGACAGAATTTTGTAAATTAGTTTCATTTCTAGATATAAAGCAGTAGTTTATATATTTTTATTATGATTTAACTAAATTTTGTTAAAATAGCAGATTTTGAAACTTTATGCAGCTTTTAACAAGCGCCTCAGCAAAGCCTACGCTAAAATCTGTTTTTAAAGAAAACCTGAAAAATAGACAATTGCGAAATTGAAATATTGAGTTAATGAGCTTACATTTAAAAAGCGTGATGCACTAGTGACTTTAATTTTTTTTCTTAAAAAGTGCATTTAGCGCATTAAGTAAAAGTTTAGAGTATTGAGAAAAGTAAAAAGCTATACATTAAAAAAAAAAAACTGACTTTAATATATTTGTATTAGGATAAACCGTTCAGAAGAATAGTTATTACTAGTGTGAATAAAATATGGAATAAAAGAATATTTTTTCGATAAAAATTTGTAACTTTTCAAAATGTAATTTTTTGTAATCTTTAAGGGTGATTTTCTTCTTGATAAAATTTTTTTAAGCTGAAAATAAAAGATACTGAACGAGAGATATAAAACTAAGTTATACATTTTCACTTGGCTAAAAATTAAAATTGAAAATGATGTTCTTTTTGAAACATATCCAGAGGCTTTATAAATTTCAAAGTTTTTCAGTTTTAATCTAGAAATAATTAAATTTTTTTCTCTTTTTAGGCTTAGCTGCAACAAAATGGCTTACTGAGGCTGGTGTAAGCGCCATTTTGTTGGAAGCGCGAGATCGAGTTGGTGGAAGATTATTGACTAAGTTTGTAAGTATTCGATATGTTCCTATATTAGAACTATATTTAAATAATTTTTGAGTGTATTATTGAGGTCTCTGGTAAAATACCAAAGGATTGTACAGTGCGAACAACTTAATAACTTAGAATTTCACATACAAGGACTAAGTCTGAATGGTTTTTGGACCTAACCTAAATATACTCATTGATGATGTTCATCAATTCAACTATTTTTAGGAGATTAATTAATTTTCTTCGAACAAATTGTCATATTTTTCGTCGGGTTTGTTTTCTCGATCCTCAAAAAATTATGAGTAACCTCAATCTGGAAAAAAAATCCCATTAGTTTAAACAGGAGAGCTGTTAATAAGTCGATAATTTAGGCACTTAAATGTTAATTTCATATTTGCTTATTTGCCGACCAGGTCGCCGAGTTGTTAGCGTGCCTGACTGCGGAGCCGATGGTTGCGGGTTCGAATCCAGCTCAGGGCATGGATGTTTCTTTCTCTCTGTCTCTGTTCTATGTCCTTTCTCCTTTGTGCGAATGTTACCCGCCCTATAAACGGGTTTGTGGTTGTGTGACGTGGGGGACGCTGCTCCACCGTTGTGGCTTTTCCACAGGTGCCCACTGAGTAATGAGAAGAGAGTAGCAGTCCTGGCATATGAGGCCAATGGGACAATACATCCCAACTGCCCGCCATTAAAAAAAATATTTGCTTATTTTCTCATCACAAAGGCTTCTATATTCAGCTATGTGCACGTTAAATCTGACATGGCTGAAAGTCCTCTTTTTTGCTGTTGTGTAGGAGTTTGGAAATAGGAAGAGTTGTTCAGGTTCTGTCCGAGTCATCAGACTGGGGCATAAAATTAAGCGGTGCTCCAACCATGGCCGCTAAAAGATGGAGCACTGAAAAAGGGGATTTAGCCTTGTTTGAATAGTGTGTTTTCTTTATTACATCTTAAATTAAAATAAGATTTTAAAAATCATTCTTAACCATGTTTCAAAAAATTTACTTGCAAACTTAATTGCTTGAAGTACGTTTAGGAATTTTTTCCATTTCTATTACGAATTACTAAGATAGTAATATCTGATAAATATGTATTTTTAAATTATTTAAATTATTTTAGGATCCTAAAGTGAATTATGTGGACATTGGTGGTGCTTATGTCGGGCCAACTCAAGATCGTTTGCTTCGAATGGCTAAAGAGTTCGGAATAGAAAATTATAAAGTTAACGAAATTGAAGATTTGTTGCATTACAAAAATGTAAGATACCATTTCTTATTAAAGATGACTGTTAATCTTAATATAATGCTTTTACTTCACTTTTTTTTACTTTCTAGGGAACAAGAATTCGTTTTCGACCAAATGCAGATCCTAAACGTTTCAACCCTTTTGTTAATATGGACATTAACAATATTTTTTATCTAATGGACAAAATGGGCGAAGAAGTAAGTCTTATTGTATTCCTTTCTAGAATAAAGGGGAATTGATTAAAATAAATTGAATTTATTTGAATACTTATTAGTAGTTTGTTAAATTTTAGTTAGCTATCTAACTTTAATAATTTACTATTGATTAATAAATTCAATAAAATTAATCAAAATATTTTTATTAATTTACTTATAATAATTTTGAGGAAAATGAGTTAAGTTTTCCATTAAGTTTCATTTTTTATTTTTATAATGAAATTTAAACGTGGAAGTGCCCTTTATTAAGAAAAATAAATTAATTACAAGTGCTTAATATAACAATACGATTGCTTAATATAATATTATAATGATATTATTAATATATATTAATATATATTTTAGAAATTGAAAACCAGAATTTCCACTAAATTGTTACCATACAAATAGAAAAAATTACCAAATGAATGGTTTCATATGATTTGGTTTTTATTGCCAAAATTATAGTTCCTTTTACTAGAATAACAGTTATTTTACCAGAATCTTTTCTCCACAACGTAACGCCTCAAGTCCAGAAAGTGTGGTATGCACTACTATTGAGTGTCTTTAACTCTGTGTGCTGAAATACACTTCATACAGAAGAACGATTTTCTTAAGAACTTATGTGACGGTATAAGTAAAATAAGAAAGTGTACTTTGTATCATTCCTTAATGTATTTAGCTTAGTGAGCTAGAGCACAATCAAGTTGGAAGTTTATTTTTTTTTGGTTTCCAACAAACTTTTTAGACCCCCCCCCCAAAAAAAAATGACTACGACATGTTACAATACAAATAGTTGATTTTAAACTTTGTCTAGTTCTTTCTTGTCATCCTATAAAAAACAAATGAATACAGACTCGTAAAGTAATAAAATTTTTATTTTTTCAGTGGAAATAAATGGTTTTATTTTATTGCTTTAGATACCAGCAGAAGCTCCATGGAATGCACCGCATGCAGATGAATGGGACACCATGACTTATAAAGAATTCCTAGCACAAAACTGTTGGACAAAGTAAATATATATTTTCATTTTAGGTTTTCCTTTAAATATTAATGGAAAATACTATTTTTGGAATCTGGTTCCAACTCAATTTTGACAGCAGTGTTATAATTACCTCTGAAGGGCCGGGATAGTCTGATTGGCAGGGCACTGGATTCATGAGAACGGGGATTCGAATCCAACGGGCCTAAGANATGATAGATTTTGAGAGTTAATGGATAACCGTTAAACTATAATACAAACCGTTTATGCATACACTCCCTAGGTAAATTGCGGAAAACACTTGATTCCGCATTTTAATGTATTACCCTGGTTAATTTGCGGATCTGCAGTATCATCATTGTTTAAACAAATTAATATGCAGCATATTTTTTACTGAATTTGATTTATTTCACACGTTTAAATTTGAAATAGTTTTAAAATTCAAGTTTAAACTTGGGGAGCTATGCAATATCTTTCATATTTCATTAAAATTAAAAATAAAGTTAACTTAAAAGTTTAAGAAAAATCTTTTGCATTTCACGTGCTTACAATTCTTTAAAAATATTCAGTATACAGTTAGCGATTGTGTAAAAAAGAATATTTGTGTCTAATTCCTAGACTAACTAATCTCTCTATTTTATAAATGTGAAGTTTTTTTTCAAAGTTACTTTTAGTATAGTCTTTAATTTATTTCATGAAAGGAAATTTTCATGAATTTATCCAACTTAAGTAATAAATTCTTTTAAAGGTTCTACTTAAAACTTTAAACTATAATTAGTTTAAATAAACATTATCATATGCATTATTCTGCCATAAACATCCGTTTTTCTCAATTATCATAAATCTCACTTCATATACATAGTGTCAACATACAGGGATTCCATTCACTTCCTGCTACGTACAATGTAGAGACACACTCCCTTAATAATTATGTAAATTCAGATAAATTCTATAAGTCTTTGTTTAACAGAATTACCACGAGGTTGGTATTATTCTTAAACCATTTAGTAATAATAATTGCCGTTTATCATGTTCTAACTTTTTATTTCTGCTCACATTTTCTCTTTTTAAAATATAGTATTTTTGTTAACTTGCAATTTGTTGTTTAAAATGTTTCAATTTTTATCAGATTAAGGATTTATTTATTCGTATGCGTATGCGTATTTTAAGTCTATAAATTCAACGGGAAAGATAATTAAATCCGGGTACGAAAATTTAAAGTAAAAAATATTCCCCATTACTTTCGAAAAATTTATTTATATCATAATTTTTATTTATAATTTATGCGAGTAAATTAATTATAAATTTAATTTTGTTTCGTGGAAATAGAAAGTATTTAATTAATGTTTTTTCAAAGTTGGCTATGTTTATGACTAGTGGGACTAGTATGTATGACTGGTTTAAGCTGATAATTTTTGAAACCTTTTATTATAGAGTTCAGTTTATATACAGTGTTAAATGAAAAAATTGCTAAGTGTGTAACAGTTATAAAAAACCATAAAAATGCCTTACGAATACTTTGAAAATATTTTTAAATAAATTTATAACATGAAAAATAAAAAATAATTTCTGACGGAATTGATTGGGAACTACGAAAATATAGCAAACATTTATTCCAAATATTCTTCAAGGATTTCCCTAGTGTTATAAATTATGTTGTTAGAACATATATTAAGGATTGTAAAATAAATATTCAGCATAAGAAAACGTTTTTAAAATCCGACGAATTATTATCGAGACCAGTTACGGCAAATGTAAAGGTAAAAGCATTAAAATTGGTTCCCTTATAGCATTAAACTGAGTCATTCCCAATTTTTCGTAATGCTCAACGCATTTTATATTCATCCACTAACATTAGTAGTTTTTATTTGTTTGCTTAGTTAATTGTAGCATTCAAATAAATTCGTTGTTCTTTGAAAGATTTAAACAGCATAATCATTCTATTTCAAGAAATTGAAAACAAGTGAATTTTCATCTATTTTTCAGTGGAGCTTATGAATTTTTTAACCACTTTATCAACATTAACATAACAACTAGCGCCTATGAATCTTCTTTACTTGGTTTCTTGTGGTATGTAAAACAATGTGGCGGAACTAAACGGATATTTTCAACCACCAATGGTGGACAGGTAAGTATCTACAGTTTGTCATGATCTGTACAATGGATTTTTTAGTGTTTTTATTCTAATTTTTTGCTAGTAAATCAACTTCCTTATAGTTTTTTTAAAATTGTTTTAAAGTCAGATTTACGCAAACTATTTGGTCTGCTTGGAAGATAGTTTGAGTTCAGTTTATTTGCTTGTAAAATAGCTTTGTTTGTTTAAGTTTGTTTAATTGTTGTTTGTTTAATAGTACAGTTTTACTTTCCTTAATACGGCTGCGCAATTTAAGGAAAAAAAAACAAGTCTTTCATGATAGATTTTGAGAAAAGTGGACTGGCAATTATTTTCTTTCCATTGCTAATGCTATAAACTCTGAAATAGAATTGCAGGGGGCCGGTACAGTCTGGTTGACAGGGCGCTGGACTCTCGTTCGTGAGAAAGGGAGGTTCGAATCGGAGAAAAAAAAGAAAAGTTTTCATAAATCAGTTTTTTATACAATTTCTGAGATTCTATTTCAGTGTTATTAGTATTAGTAAGGGTAAGCTACTTTTTCAAAAAAATCTATCGTGTAGCACTTACGCTGCTTTCTCAATTGCACGGCATTCAAGAGTTCGTAAATTTTCTTTTACTTGTTTGCTTATTTGTTGAAATGTAGGTAAACTTTGTTTTACTTTATTAGTTTATTAGTCTTAATTACCTTAAAAGGTAAATCGTTGGAATATAAAGCCTTTATTTATGATTTAAAAATGCATTTTTTATGAATAAGGTAGTTAGAGCGAATACTTTGATTTTTCTTTCTTTGTTTATAACTCTTACTTCTTGAACAAAATAAAGATAGAGCCTTGAAAAATTAATTTATTTATTTATTGATTTGAATATGCAGTTTTTATATAAAGAAAAGAAAGGCACGGTGTTGAAAGATAAGCCACCTTTATTTCTGATTTGAAAATGCATCAGATAGTTAGCACAAAAGATTTTATTTTTCTTACTTTTGTTTACAAGTTTTACTTTCTACAAAGAAGACATAGCTTTAAATAATTTATTTATTTATTTCATGATTTCAATATGCAATTTTCATATTAAAAGAATTTTCAAAAAGTTTTTGATATTTTGTTATAGGAAAGAAAATTTAAAGGGGGGACTCAACAAATATGCATTAAGATGGCTGAGCAACTGGAAGGTAAGATATAAGTGCTATAGATAACTAACTTATATACTTTGAATTTGTTTACAAAGAGTTTTGCAAATACGAATTTTTCTATTTATCAAAACTTTTTTTTGACATATATCCTTTTAAATCTTAAATTGATTTATAAATAGCAAAAATTGTCATCCATTGTCATTTATAAATTATGCAACTTGCCACAGTGTCATTATCGAATATTTGGAAAAAGAAATTTTAGGACTTTATGAGTTAAAAGAAATAACCCCTACTCCCTTCAATTTCAATAATTTTATAATTAAATTTCAAATAACATGCTGTAAAAGGTAAATACATAGACAAGGTAGTAAGTGTTGATTTTTATGTGTACGGTCACTGGCGAAGAAACAATAACCCTAAACAATAAGTAATAACTAAACTCTGGATCAAAAACGACAGTTGCCGACCATAAACATCAAAAGTTTCGCTACGCACCATCAGTAGGATTTGCAGCAAAACGTTATTTTCAAACGCATATAAAAACGTGGCTTTAATCGAATTTATCAAAGCTCTTGTATTCAGTTGATGGAAAAGTGGAAAAGTTTATTTAAAACTTAAAATACTTAAAAGAAAAGCGCATTTCTAAAATTTTAGGAGAAATTAAATTTTTTTTTACTAGATAGAGTTTGCTGCTGAACGAGATACACGTAGTGCTTTATTCTAAATCTATCCAATTTTCTAAATATAATTTTATTCTTTCATTTTTTTAAATGTTTCCAAGCAAAAATCAAGCAAGAATCATTGTACAGTGCTTAAAATAAAAGAAATGCACCTCATTGAATAACTTTTGATCTAATTATCGGATCGTCATGGTTTTGTACTCAATATTAATGGTTGAAAGGAGGGAGTTCAAATATGCTACTCAATTTATGCAGACGATGTTTTAAGTTACGAAATCAGACACGAATTGTACTTTCTCTGAATAATCATATCATTTGTTTCATCGAATTTTGATTTCTGACACCTAAAAAATTCGTTAAATGTTTACTACACAAAAATCAAGCAAGAGGTACATTAGTTTTTTCAGCCATCATTATCTACAACCATTTGCTCAAGAAAATCAGCCAATTTTCTTATTTGTTTCATAAATCAAAAATTATTTGTAGTTCATACTAAGCAAATCTATTTGATTATAAAAAAGTTTTAGAACTTTTATGGTAAATATTCCTTTTTCAATTATCTTATTAAAAAAACCTTTGTCTTTTGTTTTTTAGATCGTGTTGTTGTGAATAGTCCCGTCGTAGGAATAAATCAAGAGTCAAAAGATGTCGTATTAGTCAAGACACTTAATGGAAAAGAATATAAGGTAAATTGAGGATGTAGTTTTTTATCAGTATCACTTTTGCCAGAATGTGACAGTTGAGGATGTGGTTTTAATCAGCGTTCCTTTTACGCCTAAAAATGTTACAAAAAATTTTTTGAGGTGTGAAAAGATTGTTGGGAAGAATGCTTATGCGGTATAATACTAAGCTTATTAAAGACGTCATAAAATTCTGTGAAATTCTGTGTGTGCTTTATGGGGCTGAGTATATAAAACTTTTTTTAATGAATCTTAATATAATTTATTTGATACATACAGGGTGATTCCTATTGATCGTTTACGATAAATATTTTTCAAATCTTTATCAAAAACGGTCAGGAGAAGTATGCTCACTAGGGTTCTCAAGCTAATACAAACAAGAAAAGCAGAGGCGTTATCGAAATCTAACGAATTACAACTGAGGAAGGAGGGGGGGGGGACATCAAAATACGATTGATTATCGAAAAAAGCGAAAATGATTTGAAGGGTGATTTTTAGAAACCCCTTTAAGTTTAATTAATAACTTGAAAGATTTTAATACTGGTTTTGTTTTTTTCTTGTTTAAATATTAATTTGCGCCTCATAGTGTGCATTTTTTTTGACTTCATTTTTTAAGTAAAACTCCAAAAATATGCATCAAGGGTGACTATTACAGAACACCCCATGTATAGAAAATAATATTTTTATGCGAACAATGCAAGCCGATTGCAATATTTCAAATAATTTTTAGAAAACTATAAAACATTTAAAATATTTTTAAGATTTATAGCTATAACTATCAGAACATAATTTTTCAACTAAGCTTAATTTCCTTTAGTATTGATTGACAGAAAATATGTAATATGTTATACATATTTTTATATCATATAAAAGTTCGATTTTCTTAAAATAAGTTAAGATTTACATTGAAAATTGAATGAGGAAGAAGTAAATATGCTACCGTCATTGTTTAAAATGTCGATATTTTACAGAATGTCCAGTCATTGTTTAAAATGCTCAGTTATTTTTAAGCATATTTTAAAATAATGAGAATCATATAATTTTTCGAGTCATTGTATAAAATGGGAATACATTTCAAGAAAAAGATTATTTAGTCAAAGTATAAAACATGAGATTAATTTTTCTTCTCAAATCTATAGAATCCCAAGGTGATGTGTAAAATATTTATGATCTCATACTTCGCCGGTCTATTTTAGGTTTTCTATGGAATCCCGGATTTCATACATTAGAGGCAACATATATAAGTTAATCACTATATGTAGTGATGGCAATGGCTAGAAAAAATTGATTTTAATAACGTTATTTTAACATATACCTAACCCATTGACGCAGATAGAACACCGATGTCTTTTTTATATATTTTTTCTGACAGTTTAATTACAAAAAATATTATATTTTGTATTTTTTAATAATAAAAAACAGTCCAAAAGTAGCTAAAAAGGCTTCTATATTATCGGAATTATATATATTTTTTTCCTTTCGAATGACAGGCACTGAACTTTATTCGTTTCGCCTTAGAAGATGCCAGAGTTGTTACTCATCTCGCGTTATCCAGTGGGCTCCTGTGAATCAAAGTCACGGAGGCGAGTAACATTGCCCAAGCCACACTGCCACAAAACCGTTCATAGGGTGGGCCACATTCACTCATCACACACAACAGAGGACAACACAAGAGAGAGAATCATCCATGCCTAGAGCGGGATTCGAACCCGTGGCCATTGGCTTCGCAGTCAGGTGCGCTAACCGCTTGGCCACCTGGCCGGCGGAATTATATTTGTAATAAAATATAAAATGCAAAAACGTATTTTGGAATTTAGTTTTTTTTTTCATTCATATTCAAAAATTTGTCAATAATTGATTTTGTAAATTAAAGAAATTTTAATGGTTTATAACCGTGAATGATCTCTTAGATCTAAATAACTGCAAATAAGTGCAAATCTGAAAAATTATTGTTTTTTAATTTACTCGTGTTTGAAAGATACCTTCTTTAATTCAAAAAAAGACACCGGTGTTTCATGCCGTATTTCATAACCATAAAATACTAAAATGCTAAATATAATATTTTGCACTTATTTCGACCTAAACTAATACAAAATAATGAAAAAAGTATGAAAAATGTGTTTAATAAAAATTCTGCGCCGAAGGGATATAAAAAAAATTTCAATATATACAAATAAAATGTAACAATACAATAGTAAATAATATGAATCAAAAATTTAAGTTTTTATTTAAAACTTTCTTTAGACAAAATACGTAATCCTGGCTTTGCCACCATTGCTACAAATGAAGATTCATTATACACCACAGTTGCCGGCATTGAGGAATCAGTTGAATCAAAGAGCACCCATGGGAACTGTTATGAAAGTTATTCTCTACTACCCCAAAACATTCTGGAGAGAAAAAGGTAATGTGTGAAACGTAAATGTAAGGTTACTACGTAATGAGGTAGAACGAATGATGTGTAAAGCTATTTATTTAAAAAATATATATTTGAAATGTAAATGTAAGGTTACTACGTAATGATGCAGAAATATGATAGGTAAAGCAATTTATTTAAAAATAAGACTGTTCTGGTACTTTTTTTCGTATGATAAGAGTTTTATGAACTTTTTTTTAATCGTTTCAGGGTATTGTGGGTCGTTTTTGATTGAAGGGGGAGATGAACATCCGATGTTTCTTACTTTAGATGACACAAAGCCAGACGGATCACATCCAGCAATTATTGGGTAACAATTGTTTTTTTTATCACATTTTATTTAGAGTAACTATAATGACACAGTGAGTAGGTTGTGTGGTTAGAGTGATGAACAGTCATTGTAAAGTATTGGGGTTCAATCACTGGTTCACTGTATAAAATACTGGATCAAATTACGGTATAAAGTACCTACCAGCACTTTGAGCGCATCATTTGTAAAATTCATTTTTTACAGTGAAATATTATACCGTAATTTTCACAGTTAAAAATATGCATTCACTGAAAAAATTTCTGGATCAAATTACAGTAAAAAATAACGCACTCAGAGTGCCAGTACCTTTTACTGTAAAACTCAATTTTGCTGTTTAAAGCAACAAAGCTAATTTTTCTGTCTTTTGTTTTTTAGCTGTAAATTTAAAAATATTCAACAAAATCAAGCAAAATGTTTAGAGCAATTTTGAAATTAATTGCAAATATTTTGCTTCAAAATTTGAAAAAAAAAATTGTTAAAAACTGTGCAATTTATAAGTATCTAAATAAGGTCTTCTATACAGCACGCATGCGTGGAAAAAAATAACATTCCCCCCCCCCAACTTTTTTTTAGCAAATTTCAACTTTTGTCATGAATCATAATGAAATAACAACTAATAAATTAAGTCCGATTTGAATATCTTAAAAATTTAAGAAAATTCAAGCAATTTTCCAAGTAGTTTTTGTACTTTTTAAGAGAAAGCCTAAAATGATCTTGGCTTTTCTACAAATATTATTTTGTGACATGAGACAAAATCAAATAGCAAATTATAATAGTATTTCAGAATAAATGTTCATATACCAAAATGTGATTGTTTAAGGAAATAATACATGTGATAGGAAAAATGCTTTTATGGGGGATAATTCCCAACAATATCGGCGTCATTTGTAATAAATCTTGTTCAACAGTACGAAATGAAATTTGTGGAAAACCCCTTATCATTTTGAGATTTCTCTTAAAAAGTACAAAAACTTCTTGGAAAATTGCTTGAAACTTTTTAAGTTTTTATGGTATTCAAATTTGATATTTTATTAGATGCTAAATATGACTCACTGCAAAATTAGGAAATTAAGATTAGTTAAGATTATAAAAATTAGGATCAAAATTAGGATTAGTTTTTATTTTAATTTCGCCCGCGCATGCGCTTTATAAAAGAATTACTTTAATTATTCATCTCTTGCACAGTTTTAAACAAATTAATTTAAAATTTTAAATCAATATTTTTTTCATTTATTTTAAATTGTGCCAAAAGTTTTGTTCAATTTTATTGAACATATTTAAACTTTAGTGAAAAAACGTAAGACAATTTTTTTAAAAATAAAAATGTCCAAATCTCCATAAATATTTAAGCTATATTTACGAAATTGTGTGCAATCATCGTACATAATAATCAAAAAATTGCAACAAGTTACAAATTTATTGCTTCATTTTTTTGGCGTTTGTAATTTATTTTCTGTCCTTCAAACCTCTAAAAACTTTAAACTTTATTGATAAATATGATAAATCGAATAACCAAAACACTTCTGAATTTACCTAATGATTCTTTAAATATTTTTTGAAAAAGATAAAAAAATGTGTTAGTATAGAAATGTTTCCATTATTTTGCCCAATCCTTGTATTTATCAAAAAAAATCCAGAATCGAACCTGATGCCACTCCACACCTGTGAATTAAACTGTCTGACATAACATCCAATTTTGAGACTATTATTAATAAAACGATGAAAAAAATAATTTAATTTCCTGCATTAAATATTTTTCAAAATTATTAGTGGTATTTCTTTGGTTAATATGTTTATAATTGGAATTATTTTACTAGTTTGGGGATTCGGCAAAAGGTCGATCATTTAAGGTTGCGCTGCAGGAAATAAATTAGAAACCACTGATCTAAAATAAAGACTCAGAAATTGTTTTTCTTTCTCCCAAAGGTTTATATTAGCAGACAAATGTCGCCGTTTGCATCTTTTAAGTGTAGAAGAGAGAAAAAATCTTCTCGCTAAAAGTTTGGCTGAAGTTACTGGTTGTAAAGAACTTTTAAAGGTGAGTTCTTCAGTGTTCGAATGATCCTATGAAAAAAAATATATAATTAAAAAAAAAAAACATTTGCGTTTTAAAATAAGCACTATCTAGTTTTTTTCTTTGAAAAAATTACCATATTGATTTCAACAAAAATGGCAATAAAATTTAACTTGTCTTTGAATATTTAATGCTGTACAGAAAGGTAATCTTTCCAAAGAATTTCCTTTAAAAATTATTTTTATTCATGTGCATAGTTCAATAGCACTTTTAATAACATAAGCAGGCAAACAGATTTTAAATATATATGACGAGATATTGATATGTTTGTCTTTTATAGTTAACATTTTTTATTATTGCATGACATATTCAAAATTTGAAACTAGCGTTAAGGAAATTAAAACTGCTATTTAGTACGAAACGGTAGAACATTTTTTGATAAAAACAAAATTAACTGCTTTTTTTAATATGATAATAAAAGTAAAAATTCTGGTTATCTTAATTTTTACTCATTATGCAATTTAACCGGAAGAAGCACATTTGAGCATGCCGAATTTTTTATTTCTTTATTATTCCGAAATTGAATTTATAACAATGAACGAAAATTGTCGCTATAATTTACTATAATGTAACTCTTGTTTTTCAGTTTTGATTATAGTTTTTCTGACTCATACCGAGATGCTAAAAAAATATTTTTCTTGTTTATTTATTGTTTTAAAATTTAAGATAGCGTGAAATACATTAGTGTAAGAAATTCAGAGAATTTGCAGACTTGGTCGATTATCTCTAGAACTGTAGGACCGATTTTAATGAAGTTTGATACGTACATGAAATTGCCACAGGATAATTCAGGCCTATCGTCACATGAAATGATAAACTGCCTTATTTCAAGTATGAAATCAAGCTACAATGCCTGTATGTCTGTAAGAGGGGACCATACCCCGTATTAACAATTTTTTAAAATTTATTCTGCAACCGCTGTTTCATACCTTCCGACTCCAACGAGTGTTACGCATGATCATGCGTGTGTATTACAATTGTTGAATGTTTATTTGTTTTGTATTGTATCAATGTCGTTACTTTTACACATCAAATTTCGTTAAAATCGGTCTAGTAGTTCTAGAGATAATCGACCAAGTCTGCAAATACTCTTAGTTTCTTACTTTAGTGTATTTTTCACCCATTTAAGGGATATTTCAAAAGGAATAAAAACAACTTTTTGATGATATAAAATTTTATTTCTAAAGCACCTATAATATTCTATTTTTCAATCTACCGAGAATCAAAAATAAAAATAAAATAAGTATGTAGCGATGGCGAAGACAGAGTCCCTAACCAATCAGTGTGGCATATCAGCGAGTGACATTTCTAAACAAAGCTGATCATTCAGGTTTAAAAGAATGGGTTGCTTCATGAAGCATCTTTACAATAGCATAAAGCATTGGAATAAAATTAAAATAAAANATTTTTTTGGCGTTTGTAATTTATTTTCTGTCCTTCAAACCTCTAAAAACTTTAAACTTTATTGATAAATATGATAAATCGAATAACCAAAACACTTCTGAATTTACCTAATGATTCTTTAAATATTTTTTGAAAAAGATAAAAAAATGTGTTAGTATAGAAATGTTTCCATTATTTTGCCCAATCCTTGTATTTATCAAAAAAAATCCAGAATCGAACCTGATGCCACTCCACACCTGTGAATTAAACTGTCTGACATAACATCCAATTTTGAGACTATTATTAATAAAACGATGAAAAAAATAATTTAATTTCCTGCATTAAATATTTTTCAAAATTATTAGTGGTATTTCTTTGGTTAATATGTTTATAATTGGAATTATTTTACTAGTTTGGGGATTCGGCAAAAGGTCGATCATTTAAGGTTGCGCTGCAGGAAATAAATTAGAAACCACTGATCTAAAATAAAGACTCAGAAATTGTTTTTCTTTCTCCCAAAGGTTTATATTAGCAGACAAATGTCGCCGTTTGCATCTTTTAAGTGTAGAAGAGAGAAAAAATCTTCTCGCTAAAAGTTTGGCTGAAGTTACTGGTTGTAAAGAACTTTTAAAGGTGAGTTCTTCAGTGTTCAAATGATCCTATAAAGAAAAAATATAATAAAAATAAAACGTTTGAGTTCTAAAATAAGCACTATCTAGTTTTTCTTCGAAAAAATTACCAAATTGATTTTAACAAAAAGGGCAATAAAATTTAACTTGTCTTTGAATATTTAATGCTGTACAGAAAGGTAATATTTCCAAAGAATTTAATTTAAAAATGATTTTTAGTCAAGTGCATAGTTCAGAAACTCTTTTAATAACATAAACAGACATACAGATTAAAAATAAATTGCGAGATATTGATATGTTTGTCATTTATAGTTAACATTTTTCAATGTTCCATGGCATATTCAAAATTTGAAACTAGTATTAAGAAAATAAAAACTGATATTTTGTACGAAACGGTAGAAATATTTTTGATAAAAACAAAATTAACTGCTTACTATGAAAATTGTAAGATTTTTGGTGTTATTTTTAATATGATAATAAAAGTAAAAATTCTAGTTATCATAATTTTTCCGCATTATGCTACTTAACTCGTAGAAGCACATTTGAGTATGCCGAATTTTTTTATTTCTTTATTTTTTTCGAAATTGAATTTCCAACAATGAGCGAAAATTGTCGCTCTAATTTTCTATAATTTAACTTTTGTTTCTCAGTTTTGATTATAGTTTTTCTGACTCATACCGAGATGCCAAAAAAATATTTTTCTTGTTAATTTGTTTTTTTTTGAAATTAAAGTAAAGATAGCGCGAAATACAGTGGTGTAAGAAATTAAGACAATTTGCAGACGATTAGAACTACTAGACCATCTTCAATGAAATTTGTTATGTACATGAAATTGCCACAAGATAATTCAGGCCAATTGTCACAGGAAATGATAAACTGCACAAGACCTGCATATCTGTAAGAGGGAACAATACCCCCTATTAACCCTTTTTTGTTTGTTTATTCTACAACCGCTGTTTCATACCTTCCGACTCCAACGAGTGTTACGCAAGATCATACGTGTGTATTACAATTGTTGAATGGTTATTTGTTTTATATTGTAACAATGTATGTACGCATCAAATTTCATTAAAATCGGTCTAGTAGTTCTAGAGATAATCGACCAAGTCTGCAAATTCTCCTAATTTCTTACTTTAGTGTATTTTCCATCCATTTAAGGGATATTTCAAAAGAAATGAACAAAAACTTTTTGGTGATATAAGATTTTCTTTCTAAAACACCCTATAATATTCTATTTTTCAATCTATCGAGCATCAGAAAGAAAAATGAAATAAGTATGTTGCGACGGTGAAGACAGAACCCTTAACCGATCAGTGTGGCACACCAGCAAGTGACATTTCTAAACAAAGATGATCACTCAGGTTCAAAAGAATAGGATGCTTCATGAAGCATCTTTACAATAGTAAAAATGCTTCATGAAGCATATTTACTATTGTAAAGTTGCTTCAACATTGGAATAAATTTAGCATAAATAAATGAAATAATTTTTTTTTATAAAAATGTTTTCTAAATTGAATGAGCAATTGCATACCTGCTAACATTCACTCTTTTCGAGAATGGATTTTCCAAGTTGTAGTAGAACAATTACCGAAATACTATCTTCCTCAAAAATATATTCATATTTTAATCAGGTTGAAATTCGCTATCGTATGGACTAATATGCTTTTATATATTTGTTGTAATTATTTATATGTAGTGGTGGTCAAACTGACTTAAAATTATTATTATAATTCAAAAAGTTTAGTGAAATAACATGAATTTCACCAGCACCTTAAATATGAAAATAAAATCTTCCGGGAAAACCGGAAGAGTTGGCAGCTATGCAATTGTGTGAATTTTTTTTTTTTTTTTGACCTCCAGATTCTACTGATAACTTTCTTCTGCTGTTACGAATTAGAAATATGAAACGAATTTCGACTCACGCTAATGCACAATTTGCAATGTTTTTCCCCCATCATTTAAATATTGCTGATTGCTTTAGTTAAAGGAATTGGTGCTAGAAAAAGTGAAAAGTGATGTCTAAAGCAACTAAAAATTTGTTGTTTAAAATATTTGGGGGTGTCTCATAACCTTGAACTCTTAAGCAATTTTGTTAACATTTTAAAATACTCATGACGAAATTCATTTCTATTTTATTTTACTATTATTTTTTTTTATAATTTTGAGATTCCCTTAAGCAGTGATTGTACCTTTAAAAAAAAAACTCTTATTTTTTGGTATAATATAAGGGTGTCAGTGAGATAACTAGTGTTTTGATTTGAATTCTAATATCGTTTCAGCCAATACACTATGAAGAGAAAAATTGGATGGAAGAACAATATTCAGGTGGGTGTTACACAGCAATGTACCCACCAGGATTTTGGACTCGTTATGGAAAGTAAGTGAAGTCATCTTGCTTTGCATAATGAAACGTAACATAGTTGTAAAGAATGAAACGTAACATAGTTTTGACGAAGAAAGCAAGATGTGAGGGAAACTTTGCCAAGTGCGCTGATTCCGCAAATATTCTCTTTCATTATATTAATCTGAACAATTTTCTATCAAAACTTTTTCTGATTACATTAATCTGATCTTTTTCGTTCCATATTTTGAATAAAATTCTAATGATTTAGTTACAGCGGTGGTGTTTCAGGGTACAGAGCCTTTACCCCCCCCCCCCAAAGAGGTAAGGGTTCAAATCTCATCCATGTCTGGTTTTGCTCGAGTTCTGCTCCCGACTACAGTGTTGATGTAAAATACCCTCAGTGGTCGATGGATCATGGGTTATAATTCCCTTGCCGCTAACCTTGAAAGGTTTTCGTGGTTTTCCAATTATGTAATACAAATGAGAGTTAGTACCATCAAAAATGCCCCTATGAAGGCTAGTTCAAAATTTCAAGGCTACGGAGATGAAGGTTGATAGCTGTAAGCTCAGAATTGGGTCGGCTGATGAACGCTGGTTATAAAATAAAATATAAAATGAGATGAAATATAAAGTAAAACATAGAATAAAATAATATGTAAAATAAAATTCTTTCAAATATTGCAATATTTAAGTACCATTAAATCTCCCCTTACCATCAGGCAAACCGTGGAAGGTTTACTTGGTTTCTCTCTCCATATAACGCATATACAGGTTATTCAATCAAAAAGTCCATCACGAAGGCTTTTTGTTCCTATGCTTCATCAATACGTTCCTTTGTCTTCTGAGTTGGGTTCAAAATTATAAGTATTCAGAGTTGGACATTGCTAGTCGTGAACTCAGAATTTAGCCAACTGTTCAACGCCTGTTATAAAATAAAATAATTACGTTAATGATTATTTTAGTATCCCATTCTTGTCTTAAAATTAGAAGTTTATTTTAATTTAATTTCTTCATCCTGGACACCCGAGAATTCCACTCAACCTTTTCTCACCTGCTTCTTAACTCCATTCTTTTTATTATCTTGTCTTGGTTTGTTCCCGCTCCCCTACTGCAACGTGTTTGCTTTGTTATTTTCTTCAGTCATTTTGTGCTCCAACAATGAGAAAAGTTCTTGTTCATAGAACCGAAACTACAGTATTTCCATTTTTGGGCCACTATTTGTGCTTTATTTACGTTATTTTGCATTATCCAGACGCATTACAAAATATACAATAACTTCATCTGAATTTTAATTGGGTACTTGCAACTAATCACACAATTGTGTCTAATCGCGTGGTTGTGCATGGCATGGTAACGTTACAGCTTTAACGCTGGAATTTATTGTTAAGCTAAATCAATTTATTGATCAGATTTAATTAAATAACTCACTAGTGTGTGTTCTGATCCTGATTGGCTGACCTACCTGTGACGTCGCTCTTAGATATTTTCTACTTTTTACAAAACTCTTTTGATATAGTGATTCGGATTATGACAAAGCTGGGAGTTTGTGAGTGCGTTAATTGTCGAAAGTTCCTTTTAAGCGTTCATTGCACTTGGCTTGGAAATGCATCTTACCCTCATTAGCGTCTTTTGGCTACTATGGCTTTTCTTGTTTTTGTTTTCTACCATTATTTTATTATCCATTTTCAGTTGACAACTTTTCATTTTCTATTTCAAATTTGTTTTGTTTTTCTCGTTAAAGTATGGAGAGTTTTGAGAGTGGGTGCCTATTTTTGAGTATCGTCTTTTATCAACTTTATTATTTTTTTGTAGTAAATGAAGTTTTTACATTAACTATTCATGAGCTCACCATAAGTTCATGGTGAATTTTAATAAATAGAATTTAAATTTATGTCATCAATTTTTTTTCTTCATTGTGGATCAAACAGTTAACATTTTTAAATGTCATACATTCAATATCAGTTTACTTAATTTCAACAATTTAAATTTTTACTCGTAATGCATATGTAAACCTTCGTGGAATGTTATTTTCAGGGGTACAGAATATGTTCGGGGAATTCAGGCAGTGCTGAGATCATTGGTCTTGGTCTAAACAAATTTTGCTAGAAAACTTTTTAATGTAATAAAAATTTATCACTTTATAAAAATTTTGCTCCTAAAAAATTGGAATGAAACTTTATCTCTGAGGAAATTCTTTTTACAAGAAATAAGGAAGCAGACTGTCTAGATGGATAAAAGCGAAAAATATATTTTCAATTATGTTAAAAGAATAGGAATATTTTCTGTTATGTTGAAAGTAAAAGAATAATTTCTGTTATGCTAAATACGACACAAATAATTTATTTATTACTTTTACTTCAAGTTTATGAGTTAATTTAGTTTGACATTAAATTTAATGTTATAAATTATTACTACTTCATTATATTTTGAGTTTTATTTTTAACGCATACTCTACTTTATTCAAGAATTGTGTGAAATCAAATGATTTTTTTCTTTGTTAGAGAAAAAATTATAATCAAAAATTTTTAACAATGTATGGAAATTTTCTAGAAATACTTTGAAAAAGTCATTGTAAATTAAAAAAAGAAACTATAATTTTGGGAAGAATTTCAAAACATAAAAACTGTGCTTTTGGGAAATATCAGACCTTAAGAATTTTCTGCATGCCAACTTTTTGTTTTTAAAGAATTCCAGGAAAAGCAATAACAAAATTTTGTATAAATTATTTTCGCTTTTTAAGAGCTTTCGCTTTTCGCTTTTTTTGCTACTAATTAGTTTTAATATTAATAAAGTTTTCTTAATGTTACTGAAATTAAAAACTGAAATATTTGATTTATTTTCAAAATTTTATTTGACATGCTAATATGCTGTACTCTATAATTTCCGAATTTAATATTTTTATTAATAATTAATTGGAAATAAAAATTAATATGAAATTACTATAAAATATTCCTGTTCAAAGACGAACGAACAGCCAGTTCAAAGAAGGCTGTTCTAACGGTGCTTCGATGATATTTCGGACCTGTTTTCCAGGCAATTCTTAATATTCATGCGGTGTCTAACTTCCCCTCTAAGTACGTAACCATTGTATTGACTGCATCGATACTTATAATAAAATTTTTAATTTTCAGAGCGATTCGAGCTCCGGTTGACAGATTGTATTATGCTGGGACTGAGACTGCAATAAAGTGGTCAGGATACATGGAAGGTGGAATAGAAGCAGGAGAACGAGCAGCTCGTGAAATTTTACATAAAATGGGAAAAATCACTAGAGATCAAATATGGTTGGAAGAGCCACAATCTCAAGTAAATATTCCGAATATTTTATTTTTTGGTGAATATTCAAGGTAGATAGTTTTAGAATCTTTGTCAAGAATGAAATAAAAAACATACATATTATTAATCGCAAATAATATTTAAGTGTGAAGTATGTAGAAATCCGCTAAATCACTAAGAAGGAAGACAGGACGAAAAGCAACAAAACCGGTTTAATTGCTTGATGAAACTTGGAGGTGTTACTAATTA